AGTCATTTCATATATTTCTAGCACAAAAAATTGCACATATTTTAATGATGGAAAATAAAATTTAATTAAATTTAAAATTTGAATTTTTTTCCATGAATGGATTAATGAATGAATGAAACATAAAATGATATGATATATATTTTTGTAGTGTAATCAATCAGTGACACCAGAACGAAATCGTCGTCGTCGATTTTATATGAGACGAACTCCAAGTTGGTTGAACCGATCGATGACATCGGATACAAGTCGAATATTTGATGGAAATGATAAGCTTGCTGCTGCAGCAAGTCGTGTTGATCGAATGTTAGCTGAGTTAACAGCTATTGCTGATTTTAATCCAACACCTGAAGATCATCCGTTTCCAACTGCACTTTCTACCTCAACGAAAAGTTTGAGGTAAACTAAAAATGATAAGTTGTAAAGATAGCATAAAATTTTATTCAGCTAATTAATTCAAAACGGTCATTTTAAATTTTAAATCGATAAAATTTTGAAATTTTGAATTTTGATCTTTTTAATGTTTTTTTAAAGAAGAGATATATCAAGTGCTTGTCACACCGAATATGATAATGCTGAATCAGAAGGTAATTGGTCTGATTCTGAAATGCTCAATGATCGTTTAGAACGACTTCACAAAAGTTTAAGGTGCTGTTCAAAAATTTTGCTCAATGTAGATGATATGATTTTGTAGCTATAAAAGAAAAGTCATATTTAATTATTTGATAATAATTAAGTATAATTAATTTGTTGATGGTTAGTTAATTTGCTATATATTATTATTACTATCCTGATATTGCACAATACATAAATAATTGCAGAGAATGTAGTGGTGTAAGTAATCCACAACGACAAAAGTGTAGATTGTGGAGTCAAAGTGATAATGGTAATGATGCTGATATTGATAGTATCTGTTCATCAATTGGTACATCATCTTTTTTTAGCAATCTTCGATGGAATAGGTAATGCTTAAAATCATATTTACATACATCAGATATGTTTACAAATTTTAGGATTAAAATATAAATCTTTTATATAAATAGACAAAAATATTGCATCAAAAAATATTATACACATATCATTAATTCTTTTTTTAATAACTATTATTTATTAATACTTGCTGTATTATAATTGCAAAGATTAGATTTGTATAATAATTTTGCTTGCAATAATTTTGTTTTGGAATAAGTAAAGTAAACAATAATTATTATTGTAATTATTATGAATTATGATCAATATATCCAAGAAATGCATAATAATTATTAGTAATAATGGTATTCTCAATAAATGCGATTCATTTTTAATTGTTGAAAAAAATTTTGTTTCTTTTTCTTGAAATGAATTAATATTTGATAAGCATAAATTATCATTCAATTATTTTAATTTATCATTAGAATAATAATATTGTCAGAAAATTCTAGCATAAAGGATGGAAATTTTTTCTCTATTTTTGAAATCTTTTTTTTTTTTTTTTTCATTTTCGTTAAATCAACTTTAAAATTAAAATGTGAATTTTTACAGTGTTCATTCGATTGGTTATGAAAATGAATATGAATTTGCTTCTAAAGAAGATCTCAAAGAGATTGCTCGTAGTCAAATGGAAGCGTTAAGTCGCGATATACGTATGAGTTTTGGTGATTACCAACTTACCACTTTTTCAAATCATACTCCATAAAGAAAAAAGTAGGAAAAAAAAACTAATAATTAATTGATAGAAATTTTAAAAGAGGTGAGAAAAAAATGAAATAACATGAAAAATTATAAGAAAAACTGAGATTTATATCATTTCAAAAAAAAAAAAACAGATATTATATGTAAAGAATAAAAAAAAAAATGTTAAAACTCAAAATTTTACAAACTTGGACAAATCCTATAATTAATTTATCAATTTTTGCCTTATTAAAATCATTAAGAAATTTGTTCTTTGTATAACTAAAAATTCATTTGCTGACAATTAATTTTGACACCTTTTGTATATTATTTATTTTTTAAAGTATTCACTGTGTGAAATTTTTATTTTGAATGAAATAAACTTGAAAAGTTTGTTCTTTGTTTGTTTTTTTTATTTTTTATTTTTCTTTTCGTTATGTTTTACATTTTATTTTTGTCTCAAAATTTTGTTTTAATTTCTTTTTCCTTTTCAAAATCATCATAAATAAAATTCCATAGCTCAATTCAGTTTACTTCCTTTGTATTTGTTTGAAATTATTTATTACTTGAAACCAATGATTATTGATTACTTTATAAATTGTTATGAAAAAATTTTCTATAGTTTTGAAACAATTCACTATTGATAAAGCATTTCTACATCACATGAAAATTTTTCTAATCATATGTTTTTCAGCTAATAAAATGAGTCGGAATATTGAAATATTGGCTTCATTAACAACAAAAAATATAAAAAAAAATAATAGTCCAAATCAATATTTTTAGGAATTTGAATTTATTTATTCTGACATTCCCCATAAATATGTATTAATATCGATACTAAGAATAGTTATTAATTGGTAGAACGTTAAAACATCTGAAACACGTATTTCTAAAGTAAAACAAAAACTATAATCCTAATTAATCAAGCTTAATTGACCTTATAATTCGAGTACGAGATGTATTATCTATATTTGAATTATCATTATATATTTGTCACTAGCTATATCCAGCGTATTGTCATGAACCAATGAACTACGATATCGATTAATTTAGCACAAAAAATCCAATCACGCGCAGATGTCGGCAATCACAGAGGGACTCTACGAAGCTTGTAAAAGCAGATAGGAACAACATGTCAGGTTCACAGCCCTCTTCAGATGGCCTCTTCTCATAAATCTTATATTCTCAACCGATGGTCTAAAGATTGACAGAATTCTTCCAAAAATATTTCTGAATAGACTAGTGTTCACTACTCCCGAAGCACTTCTACCTCAGAGCTAACGTGATTTTTAGTCTAGTAGAAGTACCAGAGGCACTGTATTTGTGCTCAGACAAGTGCAAAAAAAAAAAATATAGAGCAGAACAGAAGGGGATCTTTGTTGACCTCACCAGAATACTTGACACCTGAAACAGAAAAGATTTATGGCAAATTTGGAATGACTAGAATACTCCCCTAACCTTTTCAGAACAATCACTCTGTTGCATGAGGATCGGTCAGATAAGACAATTATGATTGAGTTTATTGGTGTGGGAGATTTGGCACGGTCGAATTTCAGCGTGAATTTGTCTCACTTGAAGAGATCTATTTCTTGATCTCAGGGAGATTCGTTGGATGTGGATGCTATAATATGTGGGGTACTGCACGAATGTAATAATTCCTTTATTAACAGAACCAACAATATAATAAATTTTATAAAGAAGAATTAAAGCAAAAGTAGTGTTGCAAATCAGAAACAAAAATAAGAAAGGAAATTATACCATTGATCTATCCAGCTTTCCAGTTTCGGTAATGATATTCGATAAGTTTGTGAAGAAAATAATTTCATTGAAATCAAGAGATTCAACTTTTTCATGCGTTTCCTGATGCGATGAGATCATCAGTTTCCGTAAATATCACTACCGTTAATCCTGTTCGTCATGTCAGCGTTATCTCCTCAGTGAAGTTTTAAGTAATTTTTGATAAACTTTTGCTTGCTTGGAATTTTGCTCAAAAGTCACATCTCGTAATTTTTCTTGTGGATCTTTACTTTCTGATATCTAGAAAAAGCAGGGAAAAATAATTATAAAAACAAAGAAGAATTAAAATAATCAAAAAATTAACTTACATAAGTATAACACAATCATTATTAATTCAATAAAAATTGTGCAATTAAAGTAACCTCCTCATACGCGTGTAGCAATCAATGCATGATATTTCACTAATTGGGAATCATCAAAATAAAGAATAAATGATTGGATTGAACATGTGTATTGTGCTCTAAAATGAAATTATCACTAAATTAAAAAATTTCCAAATGTCTAAAAAAATGATCCAAATGATCATTAAATGAACTTAAAGCTGAGAAAAATAAATAAATGACGAAAGATGGAACTTCAAAGTTTTTCCAATTCTATCCTTGAAAAAATAAATAAATAAACAGAACAGCTTAAAGAGGGTTAATTGATTGAAAGGAGAAAGGGAAGAAGAGGGAGAATTAGACGAAAGTGTTACAGGCACATCTTTTTGCTTCAATACAAACTGTATAGTTTTTACCCCAATTAGTACTGAAAGTAATGCCAAACGAGGTGTGGTAGGGGCAATATGTGATTTAGCATAAATAAGAAATGTTGTGTTCTTACCATATTTTTTGATAATGAGAACATACATTGCTGCTATATTTGAAACATCCCAAATGGGTTTATTATTATTATAGTCGAGCTATTATATTCTTTTTTTTTTGCTAACTTTATATCATTGATTCTCACTGTTTTTTTTTTTTTTTTTTTGATAGGTTCAAGGCTGCTCTCACAACTTGTTTTGTTTCCATAAAAGTTGAAGGAATAATTTGAATGTAATCATTAAAGGAACTAAAAACCCTAAAGGGTCATACTATGAAGCAACAAATTGCAAGATAGTTCTCTCAGTTACTTTGTTTTAATTCCATGGTTTAAGTATTATATTATACGAATTATATTTAAATCATAAATCCAATTGATACCAAGAAAACTGTTTTAGTTAGAATTATCCTTGTCGTAGTGGATTCATTGTTTTGATAAAGGATTCATTGTTTCAAAAATGGAAAAAACAAAGGTACACAATTTCACAAGAAACTGCGTAGGGTATTTTATGGTCTTTTTCATGTGGAAACAAAACCTAGTCAATTATTACTTTGCAGTTTGTAGCGTTACGCTTTTTGATTGTAAATAAAAGTTAGCAGAATTTCATAGTGATTTTCAGTTTTTCGAGTGATATAAAATTGAAACTTATTGCATTGCGACAAAAATGACTTAATTCGAGAATGAACAAATGCTAATTTAAACAACAAACATAATCAAATTCTACGGAATCGGTTTCCATTCATAAACCAAGAAAACTATCTTTGTTGGGATAAACTGACAAAATATGGTTGCACAATCCTATTAAGTGGAACTACAAGTGGTCTGCCAGTGCTGAAACAAAAGGACTGTTAAATGATGCAAAGAAAACAACGCTAGCAGTGTACTTATGAGAAGATATAGAAGGTAAACTTACTTCCAAGGTAGCATTGCATCAGTTATTCGTCCAATATACAATAATTGATTGAGGAGACTCGTGGCGTATGGAGTAACGGTATTCTGCGATGTGCTTAGAAAGGTAAAGGTGACATGGGTATAGTTCTCGTTGACGATAACATCAGTTGAGAAAAAATCGTTCACGTCGTCAGAATTGTTTACGTCGCCAGTATCGTTCACATCATGAGAATTGTCATCGATTCTCGGTATCGTCATCGATAACAGCAGGCTCATCGTATGAGTAATAATCCTCAATCTTGTCATTATCAACCTCAAAAAAATTCCTTGAAAACCCGCACTTTTGATTTTTTAGTTTTTTTTTTTTCAGTGTCACATCATATCTATATAAATTCTCAAAAATTACCGGAACGGATCGCTTTGACGCTACTAATATGCAAAAAAAATAATGTGAAAAGTGCAAATCGTGGGTTTTTCATCGTTGCAGAGCGTTTCCAGAATTAGTGCCTTAATGAAGGGAAGCAATGTGAATTTAATACAAACACATTTTACAGTGAGTCAAATTTTAATTTGATGAGCCTTGAGGTTGCGACTTTTCAGCCTAACGGAAAAGGACGGGCAATTTAGATTTTCAAAAATTTCAGTATCATTTTTTAAACATTGCAACTTACCAATCGTTTTCTGAAAGTAAAAATGAAGACCGAATGAATTCGAGGGATACGATGCAAATATACAATGAATTCTATGTCAATTTCGTTTCTCTTTTAAGCTGAATAATCTTTGCTCATTGCATGAATTAAAACAAGTTTATTATAAATTTTGATCAATTCATCTCGTATTTTTTGCATAATAAAATGGAAAATGACTTTTGTCCTACGTAAATCCGCATACTATCGAAAAATTGAAAGCATTCCTTTCAAAAGAAATAGATTCGATGTTAACACTCAATAGACTCTAGCAGTAGTTAAAAATAACAGTAATTAAAAGTAATAGTAACCAGACAGTGTTTTTTTCATTGATGGAATCTTCCAGAAATATAATTTGTATGTGATAACGAAGATCAGTTTTAATAGTAGTTTTTTTTTTTTTTTTTCATTACAAAATGTGAAAGAAATGAAGAAATAATTCCTTATGAATAATATTTAATAAAATTCCGCATATCTGTGTTTGTGGTTGCATGTTATCATAAATGAGCAAAATTTCTGTCTTTGACATGAAATGTAATCTTTATTAAATTATATTTTAAAATCATATTTTAAACAAACAAGCGAAATTAATTATCCACAAAATTACTTCTTTCGTCTTTTTTCTTTTCGTTTTTAACGCAGTTTATGTTGACAGTATAAATATTAATATATTATCTTTTTCGATATTTTTGCTTGCTGCAATTGAAGACAAACGTTTATGACAAATTATATTAAGCGTAGCATAACAGTAATCACTGTAATATTTGCCAAATTTTTTTAAGACAATCAAAAAGTCGTAAGTTACTTACAATCTAATCAATATTTATAGATTATTTAAAACAAAAAAATTGAAATATGTATTTGTGTGCATGTGTGTGTGTGTGAAAATTATCCCTCAAATTTTTATTAGCTAATTGCTATACTCTTATATTATTTATTGGTAATTTCAGCCACCAAAAAACATTCACAAATAAAGTATCCCAATTGATTTCAATCCGCTGAAGGATTCATATCGCGCTTTGATTTCTTCAATTTTAGAGCAAACTCCTTATCGGATATGTTTTTCATCGTCTACAACGATAATAAAGCAATTTATTTCTTTTTGATAAAAATATTCGGGATTTTAGAAAGTTTCAATATCTTTAAAACATATTTATTATGAATCCATGGAAATAGCTACAAATGAATCATTTTATTCTGTCAAATTTATGTTTTATGTTAATGAATAGCTTATAATTTTTTATTAGTTTCTTTATGTAAAATAAAATTTTAAACTAGTACACATACACTATTTTCAAGTTGTCCTGATTTTTGTTTTTCAAGGCCAAAAATGCCAAAATTTTTGTCCATAAAAATGTAGAGTGTCTAAAAGTACAATCAATAATAATTTAATAAAAATTGTAGAGGAGTTTTACACTATTATGTTTTATTGTGATAGATGTGATTTATTTTATTTTCTTTAACCTTATATCTCGGATTGCCGTCATCAGCAATTTCCATTATATTCTCTCATATCAGGCAATGATTCTTCTTGTGTTATGACTTTTCAATTGTTTCAATTGTGTTGAAGCATAAAATATATAAAGCAATCTTGACGTTGTTGTGATGTGGCCAAAGTCAAAGAAGAAATTATATACCAAATCAATATGATTTATATCGGAGTCCTAGCTCTGATACAGTTTGTTTCCCAAGTTTTTCCTAAACCGCTAATCCATTTTCACTTCCAAACTACTAAAATCTCATCAAAGTCTTAAAAAGGAAAGAATATTACAAAGTCTTAACTAAGCAATCTATACAAATTCTAAAAAACAGTATTTGCTTTAGCTTTCCTGTAGTAATGAAAAACATTAACTGTTGTTAGAACTCACATCACTTCACAGTTAATAATTATTTTGTAATATGATATAATGGAGAAAATGACAGTATTAATTTATCATCGAACTTACAATTGCAATCACAAAGGATGACAAATGTATTTTCACCTTAATAAAATGCACATTTTTTCATGATGATTTTAAAAATGGATTACAGTAATAAATCATCTCGAAAAGCAAAAAAAATTGACCAATAATCCATCGACTACGTGCACGTCAGTGGCCAGGCATCTCATTGACAATTTAACACTTTACATGGAGTGATTTTCAAGAGATTATGAATATTTTGTAAAATAGCTCTCCAAATATTCTTTTTCAGCTTTACAAATATGATTTCAAATTTTTATTGAATTTGAGATATTGACGAGACGATTTATTGCGGCGCTTCTTGGTCTTTTGAAAGATTATGTTTTCTTGTGATCATGAAAAAATGATGAATGATGACATGTTAGATTAGCTTATAAATAAACTGTTACCGTGTGTTTTCATATTTTTAATATATTCATTCTATTTTTTAGTGTTCACTATAAGCCTCAAAATACTTTGTGACTGCTTTCTTGTTAAAATGAATAATCTTCTCAATTCAGAGAAGTAATAACATCTCGCCAGTTGGTACATAGATTGAAATTTTATTAAAGTAATAAATTGGGATAATGAATGTCAAACCTATCCTAATCTAGAACGAAGAATGCAACGACTGAAAGAAAACAACGCCTGTCTAAACTATCTTCAACCAGGACATACGACAATCAATTGCAACAAGAAAACGTGTATGTATTTTTATTGCAATACTGCATTATGCTGTACTGAGTATAACGATCAAGAATAATCAATAGAGCCAATCAAAGGAGATCGAAAGACGGCAAAAGTAATCAATTCAATAATAAAACATTCGAAAGGAAATGACAGAGAAGTTTTGCTTTTTAGCAAAGAAGTTGAAGCAATTAATTTAGATATGCCAGAGGTTTCAAATAAAATTTTAGTTTTATTTGATGGCGGTGCTCAAGCAACGTGTATGTCGAAGAAACTAGCAAAAAGATTACATTTAGAAGATATTGATTATGTGTTCATAATGTGACATTCGCGGGGTTCGGCAATAGGAATCCTCAAACATCGCTTTTTGCTAAAGTGTGAATTGGAATAAAAACGGTAGAAGCAGATATTATGCCTATTGTAGCCACAGTAGTCGACTATTTAACAAACAAAATAAGGGTAATATCTGTTGACCAAGACAATGCATCACATATTTCGACTCTGTTTCCATTAACAGAGGAAATTAGCAGTTGGAAACAGCCTGACCTAATTATCGGAGTTGACTATTTCTTCAAGTTTAACTCTTTAGAGAAAGCCCAAACTATAAATTCAGGGTTTTCTTTAATCAATACAATAGTCGGCCCTATGATTGCTGGAAGTGGATACATAAATATGCACAATAATCGTCAGTGTGATAATCACCTCAACAAGATAGTAACACAGATCACATGCTGTTCCGTTCAAAATAAAGATCATATCAACATTATACCTATTAATATTGACATTCCAGAGACTGATCGATTCTGGAAGTTGGATTCATAAGAATACAAAAACAACTTAATTTATAGGATGATGAACAAGTTTCAGAAAAGTTCAAAGAAAATATTACAAAAAACAATGGTAGATGCCAAGTTCCCTGGCCATAGAAAGAATCCAGAATTAAATTAAACAACAATTTCGGATTGTGTTTTGGTCGCCTAAGATCTTTAAGTAAACGACCTCAGAACGGTGAACGTTTATTTCTCAAATATGACGAAACGATTCGTGATCAGTTACAATCTGGTATTATCGAGAAGATATGTCCAGAGATGGACCAGGTTGGTATTATTCATTACCTATCTCATCATGAAGTTATAACTCCAAACAAGGCTACAACCAAAATTAGAATCGTGTATGAGCATCCTCACACCAAAAAGGAGAAAAAAGTCTGAATGATGTATTATACCGATGACCCATAATCTCTTCCCGATTTAATAGGAGTACTGCTTTGTTTCGGAATGATGGAAATCGTTATAACAGCAGACTTTTTGCAGTTGGAGTTACTACTAACACAAAGAAACTGTACATGATTCCTTCGGTTAGAGGATATAAGCGGACAAGTAACGGAAGATAATATTGAAAATTATCGATTTAAACGAGTCCCATTTGGAGTAATATCTTCACCATTTTTATTATCGGCTACACTTAACTATCATTTGAAGAATTACGACAATGAACTCGCTAACGAGATTAAGAAAAATCATTATGTCGACAACATTATATACTATCCTTCCATTTTACTTTCTATATCCTCGGAACCATTTATTTTTATAGGACAAAGCATATTTATTAACTGATCTGTTTTCCATTAGGTAATTGTATTGTTGCAGTTCTTATTCTTCCATCTCATCCTCGGTTAATTTTTACTATCTTTGCTAGTTTCCACATATCACGAGGTATCCGAGTTCATTTAGTAAAACTATTTCATTCTCACATGGAATTCTTCTTTATACCAACCTGGAAGAAATTAGTTTCATTCATACGTTCTCTAAGACTTATAAAGTATTCTTCTCTCCACTACCTCCAAAAAACTTCTGATGTGATAAGAGTATTGTCTTTGACTTTAGTTCTTAATGTATAAGGAGTATATTCATCTTGATCACTATCATAATTAATAGGTTTATCTAATGAATTTCAAACGAACCATTATTAAGCAAGTGGGAGGTATCAAGTATGCTAGCCTTGGAGACACTCCAAACAAAAATTAAGTAACAATTATGGACATTTGAAGAATCTAATCAATGACTACAACATAAATCAATTCTCCATTTATACCACGAAACAATTATGGATCAACTACAATCGATTATAATTGAAGAAGTACATCCAACGGATGAAGTAGCTGTTATTCACTATTTGCTACATCATGAAGTGCTGACTCCTAGCAAAAGTACAACTAAATTAAAAATTGCTTATGACGCTTCAGCACATCATAAAAATTTTTAAAAGTCTGAACTAAGTATTGTACCGAAGTCCAGTAATGTTACAGATTAATACGTTTTCGGATGATGAGAGTAGTGATAGCTGCTGATATTGAAAAAGCATTCTTGCAACTAAAATTACAAACTGAAGAAAGAAATTGTATGCGATTTCTTTGGCTAAATGATATAGATAGAGAAACAAACAAAGAAATTAAAAAATATTACTTTAAGAGAGTTCTCTTTGGAGTCATATCATCACCGCTTTCTTGTTAGCGATGCTAAACTATAATCTAGCAAATAATGGTAATGAATTGGCGTGGGAGATAAGAAAAAATCTGTACGTGGATAACATTACCTATTAATCTATTAATGTAACAGATGAAGCACTTTTTAAATATGATGGAAAAAATTTTTAACGAATTTTGATGAAAAGAAAGTATACGACAAAAATGACTATGACATCGCAGAAAGGATATTGATCAAACGAGCGCAATCGCAGAAAATAACAGATGAAGAAAAGGAAAAATAGAATCTGTATCAAGGTGAAATTGATAAATTATGAAGATCAAGAAGCTATCTAGGATATTCGGAATTAAACAATGTAAGCAAATATCCTATATATCTATCGAATTATAATTATATTACTGATCTTATTATAACATAACAACACGACGAGTTACATCACGCAACAATCACAGAATCACACACATTTTGTATGAATTAAAACGTAAATTTTGGATACCGAACTAGGACCAACCTTATGGGAAAAAGAATGTATTAAGAACCGAGCAGCTCTGTAAGCACCACCCAATTTCCGTTGTGTCTTTTGCAATGAGTACGGATAGATAGATCCCTTCACAACTGTTTACTCAGCCAAGCCATGATTATAAGAAATAATATATTTAAAATATTTTACTAAAAAAAGAAATTTCTTGACTAAATAAAGCAAAAAGCACATTCTTAGATTATGAATTGCTATATTCATTTTGTTAATTATTTTTTCTTCTTATTAATAACTTTCAATGCCCTCAACGAATCAGTATAATTTACTTAAATATTCCTGAACATTATATTTAAGTACAAGAATAGTAAAAGAATAATTTGTATCATTTTTTAATCATTTCTTTTATTATTATTCTACTTTTCCTTCTTTCTCTTCTTTGAGAATTTCTCTCTCAGCATTTTAATTGTTAATTAATGCGACTAAGATAAAAATTTGATATTGTTATATACTTACATTAATCTCTTATTTACGCCATCAATAAGTTAATATAATATCATACAAATAAAACAATAAGTAATAAATGATATTGGTTTGAGACAATGTATTGCCGTAAATAATTCAAAACGTTTGGAACATTGATTTAATTATTCACTCTTCCGTTCATTCATTCATCCCTTCACTTATTCACTTATTATTAAGTGATGTCACGATTAAATTCAATTAAACAATATGAAAACAAGCGTGAAATTTACATATTGGCATGAATTTATTTCAAAATACATCTAAATTTGCCGGAAAAATTCAAAAAAAAAAAAAATTGTTAATTATTTTTACTGTATTATTTTTTCTTTTTAAAATTTTCTAGGTTGGTTATGCTTTTTGACTAATCGTATAACTTTTACGCATTTTGTAACACCATCTTCAATTATTCGCGCTTCTTGGATAATAACACGAGCAGGTATCAAACGAAACGTGTAGTCACGCTTAATAAATTGACACGTATAGGATAATAAGTTAAGGCATGCAATACGCTCCTGCACTAGTCCATTACTACATTCTTCCTCTTCACTGCAACATTATCTTTTAACTAAAATTTTAATTTAAATGAACTATTTCTTCTTTTTTTATTCTTTCAGTTAATTTCAAAAATTTTTTCAATCTTAGGAAAGATAAGAAAAAAATACCTTGGTGAAATTTTTGCTTTTGCTAATAATTCTATCATATTTTGCCAATGATTTTTTTTTGTTTTATGATCACAATCAATCAATTTTCGTTTAATCATTTCTCCTAATCGTTTTTCTCGAATATCTCGTGCTGTTTGCGCGGGGAATTTGCGCTGAAATTCCATTGCAATTTGTTGGAAATCATGCGAGCAATCTGAAAAAAACCAACAATATATTTGATGGAAAATTCCTTCCGAATGAAAAATTAATTTTTGAGTCATGAAAATTATTTCATAATTTTTACCAGTTAATTTTTCGTATCATTTGATAATATTTTGTCATTTTAGAGTCATTAAGATGAAATATAATTAATTTGCTGATGCAATTTACTGATAAAAAAACCTCACATATTTATTTAATGAATGAATATCATAGCTTTTTTAAATATTTCGTTTATTCGTGAATAACAAAAAAAAAGAATAAATGAAAAAGAAAAAAATGGCGACAAGAAGTTATTTCGACAACTTTTGCTAAATTGTGATTTTTTTAATATAAAAAAAATAGAAAAGTTCGGAATTTGCAATATTCCTAGTTGCACATCCAAAAAAACAGAAACCGATCTTTTGTTTGATTTGATTAATTATGACTGAATTAATTATAGGACTTTAACAAATCATTTTTTTTAACAGGTAGATGAAAATTTGCCATAATTTTAGTTCAGTTTAATTAGTTAATACTATCAAAACTTATTATTACCGAATTTTGATACTTCAAATATATTTTATTACAAAATAAAAAAAGTGAAAATGGGATCAAATAAATTTAGTTATTAATAAAATTTTCTATTAATTTTAGAAAAAAATTTTTTCATTTTAACAAATGTTAAATTAAACTAGGAATATTCGACTTGATAATATTCAATTCACATTTAAAAAAAAATGATTAATTAAGTTTGATTAATTTCCATCTATTCTAATATTCCCATATGAAATACTTACTTGATATGTATTATGCTATAATATGAAAACTGAACTTTAGCAATTAAATTGAACTAAAATTAAAGTGATTTTCGGTATTCCTCAAATTTACCCATATTTGTGCTAAAAAAAACTAAACTATAGTTGTCCATTAGGTTTTTATTCAGTTGTTTTTTACTATACTTTGATATATATACTTCGAAAGCTAAATTAGAAACGTTGCGATTCAATAAATTTTAAAATCCGGAAATATAGCTTAACATAATTTCCAACTTACTACAATATGACCGCATGAAAGTTGAATATTTTATACTCGATGGTGTTCATTTCACCACTTGACAAATGATCGTTTCATTTTAATAAAAAAAAAAAAAAAATAATAATTAGAGCAAACGAGTTAATTAATAGCTTGCTATAGAAATATTAATAATTTAATACAGCAATATCAATAATTTAATTAATAACTTAATATAGAAATATTAATAATGAAAGTGAAATGGTATTGTAAGCTTATTACTTATTTCATTTTGCATACTGAACACAACTAAAATTTGAATTAATTGGTGCAACTATACAAAGTAAAATATCATAAAACCAGTCTGACTTTATTTGTCTTATTGTTTGCAACCAGTCTGACTTTATTTGTCTTATTGTTTGCAACCAGTCTGACTTTATTTGTCTTATTGTTTGCAACCAGTCTGACTTTATTTGTCTTATTGTTTGTAAAAAGCACTATAATTTTTGCAGCAAAATGAAAGTTACTTTTGTTAAATTCCAAGAACTTTAAAGAAGCAACTGATTCAAAATTTCTCCCTTCATTAGTTAATGGAAAAGAAATTTTAAAGTCAGTTACTATTTTCCCATTTTCCATACATTCATTCTATAAATAAAGTGATAGGTTTCACTAATTAGTGATTATTAATCATCTAACTATTCTTAGTAACCAACGACATTCGAAAGAGAAGGACAAATAAAGGATTATAGGATTAAATTATTTCATTAAACAAATTAATAATCATAATTCGGAGATTTTTTCATTAAGAAATGAATAGAATGCGGTAAAGTACTTGAACAATGAAAATAAATAACAATTAAGAATGATAAATTAATTAATCACAGTGAGAAAAATAAATATTGAAATAATTTCAAACAATTTCTTCTTATCAATAGGTCAAGAAGGAAGAAAATCTCTCTCTCTCCTCTCATTCTCTTCTTTAAAAATATTGGAGGATATAATTAATAATCTTTAAATAAACTAAAAAATTAAAGAAATAAATTAGTGACAAATGAATAAAGTTGGTTGAGTAAATAAATTAATCAATTATTAACAAAATAATAAATTGGTAAAACAAATTATTTTCATGAATATTGTAGATGCTATACCGTAATTAAACATAATTTAAGATTGGAATGTGATGCGTTGTGTAGATGTTTGTATGTTTTTGTTTTGACTTACTATGAGTTAATTTTACTAATCAAAAATTAGTTACAAATTGAAAAAAAAGTTTATGAAAATATCATTTTTTAAAACTTACAAATGGTCAGAAATTTTTTATGTGAATAAAAAAAATAGATTTCTCATTCACTCAACCTTTTTTTTTTGTTCATTTATCTGTAAAAAATCAGATCAGGAAAATTAGATTAAAACTGTTTCGTTTCATTTTAATTTAATTCAATTTTTTTCATTGTCTTCATTTTATTTGAACTGTCGTTTGTAATTGGAATATTGAAAGAAATCAAATAATAAAAACTTGATTTTAACCATTTTTCAAGACAGTAAAAATTCATTTCATTTATCATATCAATCATTTTGAAGTAGTATTCATATCGAAAGTATTTTATTATTATTATTATTATAAATTATCATTGTCAACTATGAGCTTATTGAATGATATAATTATACTTAGATATCAGGCGGTTTGATAAATTGAGTAAAGTTATGAGATACCAAAAATTTTTTTTTGAAATACCGAAATATTAAAAATGGAAAAAAAGCATTAAATATATATTGAAATATATTGCATTTAAAAGATTTGTTGGTAATGACAGCTTTCTTTTTCCATTTAAATTTCAAAATTATTCACAGCAAAAATTTAACGTCCTATTAAAACGTCCCAAAAATATAATTTTAATGCATGCAACTTAGTAGAAAGATTTGTAATTTAAAAATTTGAAGACCTCTTTCTAATAAAATTAATAAATATTGAAATTGCAACGATGATTTTTCAACAAAATGCTCTTTTATATTAAAAATATATTTTAGTTTTTTTTTTTTTTTTTTTTCTATTTTTTTTGAGCAATTTTATTTTGATTTTTAAGTTGGATTAGATTAAATAACAAACAAATTTAAAAAAAAAAAAAAAAAAAACAAAATATCATACTAAATGGAGGAAGTGTATCGTTGAACCATAGCAAATTAGATGAAGTTTGTCGTATCGGAACTCGTGATCGAGATTCGGTATTGCCTAAGGCAATAGATGGAGCAGCAATAGGAACTGATGATGATGGTGTTGATGATGGTGATAATAATAATGACGATAATGTCGCAGTAAACGATGATGACAATAATCGTGAAGGATTTTGCGGTAATGGCTTTGCAATTGAAACTTGTGATATTGGATTATCTTGCTGAAAGGGAATTGTTTTAAATGTACTTGAAGAGAAGTTTTATTAGCAACATCATTTGAATAATTATTGTTCCAATTAATTTTTGAATTTCTATAGATGATTGAGGTTGATTTAAATAAACTTCAGGAATTTGTAATTCGGTCTAGAGAGACTGTGATGAGACAAAGGGAAAAGTATGATAGAATTTTGCATATGAAGCTTGATTTGCTAGGATTCGAATATTTTGTTGGTGTAATTTTGGCTTAGATAATTTAGGTTTTAGGTGTATAGATTGCTGCGCAATTGTTGTTGTTTGTTGGGAATATGTTGTTATAGCTGGTTGCATTATTTGGTGATAAAAAAAATTTATCATTTTAAATTACTCAAATTATTTCAGAAAAACTTAACAATTATAATTTTAAATTTATCATTTGCTATTAAAATCAATGTTGCTCATCAGTAGAGCAAAATACATCACTCTTATAATGCAAAATAATTGTTTAATGAAATAATTGAATTAATAAAATTATATTGATATGTCACTGGCAGATTACTTTAAAGAAATAATTTTTAAATATATGCAATAAATAAAAGATGAAAGAAAAAAGAAAGGAAATCATCATTAAAACATTTCGTATTTTCCAAAAAAAAAATTATTTCTTTGCATAATTAAAAATCATTTATGTTTAAAAAATGATCATACCTTAAAATTACAAATTTTATACATTTATCAGTAAAGTAAATAAATAAAAAAAATTTTTTTTGGTGAAATATAAAAAAACGGAAAAGATGAAAAAAACAAATGAAAAAATGAAAAGCAAACCTTAATTAACGATTGAGTTTTTTGTTGAGACAAACCGAATGATTCAGTTGTAATCTTAGCGTAATTATCGAATGATAAATTAGGATTCAAATCGAATTGAGTATTTGCAAATGTCTTTTCCATTTTTTGCGGCAATTCTTGCATATTGATTTGCATGAACAAATTAATAATTAAGAGTATAATTAATTGTGTAATATACAGGAACATTTTGATCTAAAGAAGATATTTGCAAACAAAGAATAAAATTGATGAAAAAATTAAAAGAAAAAATCGAAAGCATTGATATAGAATAAAAGTGAAAATAAATCAAATAATTAATTAGTTAATTGATACTAACTGATACTGAATTTTTGAAAAATACTAATTAACTGATTAACTGGCTGATTTATAAGATTATAAATTATTGTGCAAATGCAAAAGATGAAATAAGTTTTCCATCAACAATGAGACGACGACAATGAGTAGTATGGAAAAAGAATGGATGAAAAGTTGTCAATCGGACATCATCAATAATAGATAATTAATACTACACATACACACACACACACACACACACACACACACACACACACACACACACACACACACACACACACACACACACACACACACACACACACACACACATACAGAGAGAGATAAGATGAAAATGCATCCTTTCATGTAAGTGGGAAATTATCTTGCATAAGGGATATCTTTTATCATTTAATCCGATCATTATCAATAAAATTTACTTTTGAATTTTGTTGATAATATTTGTTTGTTAAAAATTCTCTATCAATCATTTAAATCTTAATACAATCATTTACTGAATTACTATTTGTAATAAAATTATGAATACAGCAGCAATGTTATGAAATAAGGATTCGAATAGATTGTAGAGCTGAATCGTTAATATTTATTTAATTGTTAATTGCAGAGAAAGCAGCGTTTGACTGATTTTTATTTTGAAATAAAGATTATATTTAGTCGGAAATATTGAACATGCCGGATTACTATATTCAGAAAACGTAATCTCGATAAAAGGCATAACTCCTTATATAGTAAACATTAACTCATAATAAGACGCACACGATTTACAGTGCCACAAAGGATGTCAGCTAAATAAAGAGCTGTTAATCTCGTCAACAGTCAAATCTGGGTAATAAGTTGATGAGCTAGAAAGAAGGTCAGTTAAACGAAAAACTGTTAACCTTGTTAAATTCGAATATAATTTGCAGTTAGTAAGGAACCAACTGTAAATAAGAAGCTAATAATTGTAAACAATCTAATTCGGAATCAATTTCAACAAATATTCTTCGTTAATAAACAATGCAAATAAGCTTAGCTACATGAAAGATAAATGATTTTTTGCGTGACATTGGGGCATTTATCTGAGGAATATTCAATAAATAAATACAATTTTGTTTCTGCAAATTGTGAAAGCACATATTAAATGAATGATTGACCATGCATGAAATATGTTATTCAATTCTTAATTAGTTTATTACAATTACAATTCCATGTCACACATAGCAAACAATTATTCTAAAAAAAATTGGACAGATTAGTATTACTAGCTCTTAAACTTAAACTGCACTAATTAATTTAATTAATATTTAATTTTTTTATTATATAAATAAAAAATTTTTGATATTCCATTTCGTTCTACTCCTTTTGTGCGCTAATTAATTTAAATTCTTCAAAGCAATAATTGATGGTCTCCCAATTTTCTTAGACATTTCGAAAATAATGTCTCATTTAATATTTAGTCTGAATTATGTGTTTAAGGTTTGCAAATTTAGCAAGAAAATTTTTTATAAAATTCACGATTTTTTTTCTGAATAATTGTTATAAAACTTTGTAACCAAACAATAATGTTCCCCAATGACTAATAAGCAGTAATATCAGTATGTTAGGAAAATGTAAAACAAAATATAACATTGCAAAATTTTACAGAATTTTAACAAGTCTATAAGTAATTTTGCATCTTTTAATTTCTTTTTTTTTTTAAATTTCATCTTAAATCAGTCAGTTAATATTTATTTTTAAATATTATATGCTGAAAAAATTTTAATATTCCATCATCATTTTCATCTGTCCGTTTCAGTAATACTAACTTCTTCAAAAAATTTTATTGGAATAAGATGAGTAATCGTATTAATTTATTTGGTAACAAGCAATACTCCAACTATTATATTTTTTCTTTCAACAAAAAAGTTTTTTTTCAATCCAGCAATTTTGATGAGATCTTAAACATTTCATGACGCGTCGTGTGGTCTAATAATAGTAACAGTAATAATACGCTTTAGAGAGATTTACGATTAATTTGTTTTGCGTTGTTTTTCGTTTTGTCAATAAATCCGTTTTTATTGTTAACATTGTCAGTACTATGTTATATTAAAATAATACCACTTCGTGCATATTTTATATTTATTGTCTTACCCAGGAAAAAAAAAAAAAAAAACTGCAATGAATGGATGCTTAAAATGATGAAACGATGGGTAATCGGGAATCATCAACATCACTTACTTCTTCGACATCATTAATTAGCTTCGAAGAAGCTCGGAATTTGTGTTAGTTCATAAAATTTTCATACTTTTTTTTTCCTTTTCAAGAATAAGTTCAATTTTGGATAATAATTTCATGCTAACCTTTTCCAAATTATACACTATTTTGTTACGAAAAATTTTTTCAGTTTTAGCTTTTTTGCTAATTGCATATGAATTATTTCTATTTTTTTGTTTAAATTGGGAAGAAGATAAGTTATGCGTTTTTCTGAAATAAAGCAACTTGTTTTTTTTTTTAATGAGATATGTTCTTTTTTTGAATGAACGCTGATTCAGTTCTTCTTCTAATTATATGTTGCTGCTATAGAGCCACATATTTGTCCTATTTGCAGTAACTTTTTTCAAGACGGCTTTTGGTGACTAGATTTCACTTTTGATGTTGAAAAAAGTTTCTTTATTCTGGAATATGAAACATAGTGTGACCAAGCCAATCACTTCACACTAGGATCAGTTGTTGTCAAACCATGTTTGACATTTAAATGCTGGGCTTGCTAGTACCAATTAATTCTTAAAATTTTCAGCATTTTATTGAATTTACGTGGTTTTTTAAAAAGAGTTAATCTTTACTATAACCTTTGATGGGACAAAAATAGAACTTTACTCTGATTCTTCATTTGGTACCGTTTATCATTGCAGTAAGCGCAGATGAATTGAAACGTTTGGAAACGGCATGGGATGGTCGAGATCAGATTGCGGAAGATGAATTTTTTAACGACGTTCTTTGTCACCCTGGAATTCCACGTGCTACACGAACACGTATTTTCGCCAAATTTTGTCAGGGATCATCTAAACTGTCATTTCAATATTTTATTATTGGAATTGTCATACTGACAAAGGTGGATAAGAATATTCGACTTGGTATATTGTTTTTATCTTAAATTTAACTGATGTGGGGGATTTTCGATAATAGGCGATTCCTTGACATAGCTAATCTTTTCGAGTGTTTTTGGTGTGAACTAACAGTTTAATTGAAGTAACCAAATTATGAGAAGTAACTCATTAGAGACAAATTCTTCCAGAATTTCTAAACAATGAACGTGACTTAGAAAGTTGGATCGAACAGCCACCTCAGCTGACATCTCGTCATTCGGAAATTCACTACAATTTCTATCAAGTACTTGCAGGCGTTACACATCGTGAGTTTTCATACATTCTTGACTAAGATTTCAGTCTTAACCGTTATTATAACTTTTTGTTTATGATTCGAGTGACAAGATTCCGAAATTCTATTCCGAGACTTTTCATGCGCTTTACAACTACAATCCTCTTGTTTTCGCATTTTTATCTTTTCGTTTCTCGTCTGGTGCAATTATACAGCGACATTCATATATCCACTATTTCATTTTTCGAAATTGCAGTTGATGAACAAGAGGTGGAAGAGCTGGAGAAAGTTTTTGGTTCGATCAACGATACCAAATTATGTAAACTTACTAGGAATGGTTTTGGTGCGTTAGTTGGTGGTGCTATTGCAGACCATTTCATTAATGGCTTATTTCGTGCATTTGATGAAAATGATGATGGATTGGTGGATTTCAAAGAACTCGTCTGCGGTCTTTCTGCTTCCTGTCGTGGACCACATACTGCTCGTCTTAACTGTAATTAAATCTTTGTTTTTTTTTTTTTGAAATAATTTTTTTCATGATTCACTTTAAATGGAGGTTTTGATGGTAATAATTCCACAAACAAATTTCAGAAGATTTTTTTAAAAAAGCGGAGTTTTAATGGTAGATGCTGTTAACACTATTTCAGTTATTGCTCAACTTTTTGACTCAGATGGCGATGGTTATTTATCAAAAGAAGACATTCTTTCCCTTTATGCTCATTTAAATCTCGTAGGTACTTTTCATATTCAGGAAATTCTGTATTGTTTTATGCATTCCTCATGAGGTCCTTTACTTTTTAATTTTATGTTTGCTATTGTTTTATAGGACAAAACTTTGCAAACTATACATGCCGATGAATTGGGTCATGCGTCGTTGACAGATTTTGTTTGTTGGGCAAACGAGACAAAATGTGTGGACAATCTGCTTGAAATAATTGTTCAGGTTTTTATTTGAAATTCGAATTTTTCTTTTCATACTCAATTAAGCTAAACTTATTCATCGAAATAAATCATTTCAAATGTTTCAGCTTGGACATATTTGTTTGGGATTGCATCCAAGTTCTGCTGAGGTTGAATTGACGGTTGTTTGGTGAGCTCTTAAATTGTTCATAGAAATTTATCGGAACAGCATCAAATTCAGCTTTAATATCGCTATAATGTACGGATTTTGAAGTATGTTAGGTTATTCACAATTCTAAATTATCAAAAAAGACATTACTGACTTGACTTTTTTTTTAATATTTTGCATAAAACTTTATTTTTAATGGATGATTATACTCTATAAAAATGTCCATAAAGTACATGAACACTTCTCTCTTCCAGAGATTTATCTTATTTCACTTGTTTCATTTGAAGTGGATTCAAGCAACGTGTTCAATTGGATGCGTTTACTGAATGGAATATTGTTTCATCGGAATGGTGGCGACAATGGGTGCACGCGCTGATGTCAAATTCCAAAGTGCCGCCCATCAATAATGCTTCAATTATTACTG